ATTTGGCCCTTTTTTCCCTAGTGCAAGCAGCCACATGGCTGCAGCCATGGCGGCAGCTGCCGCGCAAGCGACGACCTGATCAGCGCAAATTATGGAGTCGCATCTACTGTGCTATTCTGCGCGCCCTTTGGTTGGAAGTCTTGTACCCACAGCGCCTTAAACCAGTGATCTGTTGCTTAACCTGAAAACTGCAGGTTTTGTAGAAAGGCTTCTCGTCGCGCAGGCATACATTGCTCTTTGCACACAGTTTCTGTCCATGATTTACAAAGAATGCAAGATCGTGCATTCCCAGCTAACCCCGCAGCTCAAAATGTTGGCCCAAGCTCTGTCGATTTGACCGTATTAATGTTTTTGGCACCACTTCCACCAGATCAAGGAGGGAAATAAACACCTTTCCATGTGCAAAGTATCCACCATCGCCCTATCGATGCAAGAGCACTGCTGCGTTGTATTCGATTTTGCACTCTGTGCGGTTCCGTACCCTAAGCCTCGTATTCATAATGACAGAACTGTTGTGTCTGGACGTGTCACACAGGATGCGCATGCGTGTGCAGCATGCACAGTCCACAGTCTGCATGATGGCGCCACATTGCCCAGAAATCACAAATTCCGAGTGAAAAGCTTTTCACGTACTTAAGTACGCAGCACGGAAGTGCCACGTTGCTGCCCACCCCCAAAACCCCACCCCACCCCCGCCCCACTCACCCCCTCCCCCCCTCCCTTTCCCCGCCCTGCCCCAACGCCAACGCCGCAAGAAAGTACACTGCCGGAAATTACCCAATGACTTCCTTACCAGATCATCACGTGCATAGCACCACACGATAAGGCCTCCTGATAGTACATCAATTGCTAGCAACAATTCTCAGCAGCTGCTTGCTCTCGGCCTTCACCATGCTCTTACGCGTTCCCTACCACTACCACAGTCATCAGTGTCCAACACACTTCACAGCATCAAAACAAACGGCAGCAACACACATCCGCAGATCTTCCGAGCGCAGCTTCGCACACCCGCCTTTGATCTAGATCAGCAATTGTGGAAGATCTGAGCGACTCAGGCGAAATCGCCACAGGAGCGTCACACTTGAGAAATGTATGTTTCGCCTCGTCAGCTGCCAATCGAAATGTGCCAGCCCGCCATTATCCACGGTCTTTGTACTTGTGGACAAGTCCATCTGGTGCGCATTTGCGACAAAGGGCCCAACCACGGGGCACATCCCGGGGTATGGCATCGAGGTCCCTGGCGACGCCAAAGGGATTCCGTCGCCAACCGGCAGAGGGATTCCGTCCCCAGCGTCTCTAGGACCCCACATCACCGAGCGTCGCTGAATTCCGTCGCCAGCCGGCAGAGCGGTTCCGTCCCAAACGCCCCCACGACCCTCGTCGCAGGGCTTCCCCACGGGGGTCAGGGGACCCAAGGGTCCCCGCAATGCGTCCCCATGTCCCCATGACCCGTGGCCACGGGGACCAGGGGTCTCCAATGCTGCCTTTATGTCATGACATTATCGTGCCATCATTCAGTTTTAACAGTCTGTCATATCGCACGTTTAAGCATGTTTTTAAGTCTTGCCACAGCTTTGGTAATTCCTTTTCTTTGGCAGGTATTTTCCAGTTGTATCGCATCATCTTCAACTATGTTGAATTATGCATGGGCTCACTGGTCCTTGTTCACAGGACACCTACACCTCCAAAGCCCATCATGCTTGGTTACTGGGGCAAGGCAGCAACAATCATACAATTTCTCCATGTGCAATTGGCCCCGAGGTCAGCATAATTCCACTCATCAAAGCCACGTGCACTGAACTCCTGTCCATGTATACCGGGTGCCATTGTAGGCTAACATCGTTCAAGAACCTCCTTTGCGCGCACTAGCCAGCATTCCATTCTGCCGGATTTTCACAAAAACTTCCGGCAGGAACATCAGTGCTCTTTCAGCCATCAGGTATGGGCCCTCGTACTATCTTCCAGTAGAAGCTTCAGAAATGCCTTCATCACAATTCTGAGCATCTTCACTACCAGGCATACATAATGTTATACAATACGACCACCAACACACAGTCCTGGCAGCGCAGCACATCAATTTGTATCCTTTACTGATCGTGTTCGCGTGCCCCTTTGCCCATGCGCCATGACAGGCGCAATGCATGCACTGGACTCGACATGTTTCTGACGTCTTGTCATATTTTGCCCAGTAGGGTCGCATTGCAATGTCATCACCGCTTGCTGTGCATGTTAATTGTTTCCTTTTCATCGTTTACTCAACAGACCGCTTCTCCATGGGGGCCAAGTCAGCTGTCTTGGTTCAGTAGGAAGTCCAACCTGAGGTATCACGATTGAGCGACTAGTGATATTTTTAACAGCAAGTGAAGACGACTAAAGAAGAACTGCAACTAACACAAACAAACTCACCACAGACGCTTCGCCAGCCTCTTGCAGCACGACTAGGGCATCCTTTTGGAGTATATGCTGATGAAATCCAAACGCTACATGCCCTGGCAAAGCGCTGGAAAGGACTTTCCGGCATCAGCAGATCCGTGCCCTTCTGTCGAGTTTGATCGCACTGGTTGCGGGTCCCCACTGACTCTCTTTTGAAGATACATTTGCGTATCGCACTTTTTTGAGAGGGGTGCGTGCGAATCGCCCTGGACCAATGTCCGTGGCATCTGTGTCAAACTTGTGTCATGGTTCATGCAAATTTTGGTGCACGCACCACAATGATTTCCATTGCCTTACTTGCCGAAATTTGCTGGACACCCAAATGCACCACTTGCAAGACAGCTTTTCCAACTGCGCCAACAATTGCGACATATTGTTTGTATCTTCACAATTTTGAGATGTGCACGGTGATACATGCATTCACGGGCTTTTTTCTTGTGGAGGACGGAAGTTCTCCGCACATCCTACGCAGGATCCTCATACATGCGTGTGCTCATCACAAATTGCTGTGCGGACAGTTATATGTGATGCGCACACATACATGTAGGTGCCAAACGCATGGTCGTATGCCGCCACGTATCATACACATGAGTGGGCAGACATACACATGTCAGACAAAGGGGCACCCCCCTTGGGTGGGAATGCACCCCAAGGGCAAAGCGGGCCTAAATAGAGGGATGGGGTGGAAGTGGGGGTTGCCTCTGGCACCAGTAGGTGTGTGGCCACACCATTGGGGCCCGGACAAAGTGGCAATTAGTGGGTGAAGCCATTGTACGTGCAAGTGAAAGACAAGAGTGCTGCCTATGAATTAAAGCAATCACGTCAAAGCTCCGACCAACGAACGAACGGCCGGCCAAACATATCCATGGATACGTGATTGATCACAACAGCGTGAGATCCGGCACAGCGGCCACAGTGCGCACCTCCACTGAGTACGTCCAGCAGTTCCCCTAGCCATCTACACGTACCTAACAATGGCTCTCGAAATAGCAAACGAAACCCCATATCATGGAAACACACAGAACACAGCGCCCCTAGCAGCTGCAAACCTTGCACAGCACAGTGTTTGATGAACGTCCCCAGGAACACCCACGTCTGTGCAGCCGCCCGAAATCAACACTCGTGATGAACAACGACTTGTGTTCACAAAACCAGCCTGCACGTCCTTCTGCATGTTAACTATGGAACCACACTCCCGGTCTCAGACCCTGCCCGTCGGTCATGACACATGCATCAATGCTCGGCTCGCATGCGCCATCCGTCAGCTACCTGCTGCATTACTTTTTCAGTTGAACGTGCCACCACTCTAATGCTCGCTGCTCTAAAAACATCGGCAAAAAGGCAGAGCACTCGCTTCTATTTCGTGAACCGCATAACCGATTCGCCTTCCCACTCGGCTATCGCGGTGGCTGTCTTGTGCGCCGCCCAAATGCCCATCGCCCGCTGGGTTCGGTAGTCCGGGAAGTGTTTCTTCAGGTCGGCCTTGATGGCGCCGTCGATCTGAAACCTCGCGAAAGACAACAGCAGCATGAACCGAATGGCGCATTGCTGCGCCTCGCTCATCCCAGTTTCCTCTGCGCAACACGGAAAACGCCTTGTGGGTCAAATTGGCCACACGCGTGGCGAGCGGACAAATGAACGGATAAGGGGCATGAAAAGTTGTTGGGTGCATACATGCAAGTCATCGCCTTCAATGTGCAAGGGCACCGCTTTGTCCTGTCGAAGGCACCCTTCAAGGATAACAACCTTTGGAGCAACTTTAAAGGATAACAGCCTTTTGGGGAAAACGGGCCACGTAATCCACATGCTGGGATATCGGTGGGTGCATAATGGTATGCGGCAACGCTGAACGAATGTTCTTTACTGTGGCCCTTATCATTATGCCTCTGAGCGCATCGATAGTCATCGTCTCGCCCATGAATTTTGACAATTATGGTTCCGAGACAATGCTGCGAAATAGGTCCCCTGCTACTGCACAGGCGCTCTTCAGTGCAACTTCGTTGGTCCAATGCCAAAGGCAGCCACCGCGTTGCAAACGGCGGCAGCAAATAAGCACTTTGATACGGTGGCGCCACATGCTTCGTGGGACCATACTTCACACCAATATTAAGCTGCAGTATTGACCATGACGACGGTGCCATTCCTGTGGTACCGCAGTAACAGTAAAATACGCGCAAGATGTATGGATCCATAAACCACAATTCCAATTTACTATCATTTTTGACCCGCACTTCTCACCTGCCACTTTGAAGACCCAATTTCGGGAGAGTGGAGGATCCTCTCCGCTGTAGTTTTCCTCTATGTACTTTCCCACGAAATTTGTCACTTCCTTCGGAATGTACTGCTCGGCCAGCTCATCCATGGCCCAGCACCAATAAGCAAAAACCTGAGGAGCATGCAGCAAGGTTAGAAGGGTCATGAACGCGATGTGCATATAACCGCCATGCGGCATACTCTGCGACTGTCACAGTCGACGCGCTATGAAGTGAGGTGCAACTGGGTTTTCAAATCAATCAAGCAATCCCTCCGATTTCAGCCTGTGAAGAAAACGCTAAGAGAGATGTGTCAAAACGCAGAGGTAGCAGCCATTGCTCTACCGCTGTTCAGCGGCTCAATGGAAATGAGCAGAACTCGCCTCGTTATCTGATATTTTCTGATCGCTCAAAAGCCGACTGGTGCACTGTATCCCAACGTAGAGAACAGCAGTTTATTGCTGCCATACAAGTCTCCTTGAGCCGAGTCCGCGTTCTCACTTGGCAAACCTTGAAAGTGACTTTTTGAATATTAGAATGTGAACATGCAGTCTATACGCGTCCATCACCCTTAAAGCCAATCCAGCCGGAAGCTCCCAATCTTAAGCGCAACCATTCATTCTGCAAGCAGCTGTCACCGTTGCTTGTGTCTCACATTCAGCCTCAAAATCCGCGCTCCACAAACTATCCATCCCACATCCAAACATATCGTCACTCTCTGGGGCGGCACAGGACCGGAACCAAACAAGATAGTGTGGGGAACCCAATGAGGACCCTAATGAAGCGCCTCCTCTGAGCACCTCTGGTACAGAGGCAACAGAACCTCATTATTTCCATAACGTCCAGTTCATCGTTCATCATCCACCTTCGCCAAATTTTTAGATGCCTAGTTCCCCAGATGTCATGGCCTGCAGTTAGCCGGCACTCGCGAGACTCGATCGAGTCACAGGTCACAAGCCGGAGTCAATAATTGACCATCTAATGGCATTGATAATATCTGGCGATGATGTCTAAAGTACTTGCATTCGTTGCAATTTTGTCACAGCACACGTAACTTTGTTTAGAATATGTATACACTGCTATTTGCAAGTCTGGCAAAGATATCACCCGAAATCTGGGAGATCCCATATCTAGAGCTCGAACTGTTTTCCAACAACACATTTGTTTACTCGCTGACACTTTCTATTGTTCCCACTCGATCGGCCATCGCGAAGCGCTGCCGGTGTACTAGCAGAGCCCATAACCTTCACAGAGTGCTTTTCCCAGACTTAGACAGCACGAAGTTACTGAAAAGCGTTAATGGGTTGTATAAATTTTCTATTGTTAATCGATAACGATTATCATACATCAACGAAATACATCAACAATCTAACAAGTACGATTCTTACTTTCGATAATGATTAACGTTATTGAAATATATCAATATTCTAACAAGCAAGATTCTTGCATTAAAGTGTGGCTGGAGTCACGAACTTTTTCTGAACAGAAAACATTGTGATTGCTGCCGCGGCTTGCCCACCTTGGCAATGCACTCATTTTTTTCATTCCACCGGAACTCTGGCCGAGGCTTGGCATCCCTGCCTAGAATCGCCAGCGCCTCCCCCTCCTTCACAGCTCCCAGCCGTTTCATGTGCTCCGCCTTCCACTTGGTCATCATTACTATTAATGGACGCTGCAAGGGAGCACACAGCCGCACGTATTGGCATCAGAGTCGATGTCTTGAAAGTTGATATTCGATTATTTGTCAACGGGTTGTCTCTTCTGACGGGGTGATACGGCTGTATACGGTGTGACAGCAGACTTCAATGAGCTGCTCATGGACACTGCTTTGTTCGTGCCAAAAAGGAAGCTGACGGCAGCCTCATTGCCTTGTTCTGTAGACATGAATGATGGCGATGGTGGTGATGATGATGACACGGCTGGTGACCCTTGCCTTGCTGTGCCAAAATGAAAGATGATAACGAAGATCCCGATATTGCACTGTCTTGACTGCACATGCACCATTGGTACGTTGACTGGTGGGTGGTCTACTGAATGGTCGATTCGCTTAGCCATTTATTCATTCATTCACTTATGGATTGACGGATTCATCGATGGATTGAGACGGCCATTGACACACATTTAGCTCAAACTGGCAACATAGTTGTATTATCCAATTGAATGCCCGAATGTTGTCTCAAATTATTGCTGAGTTGAACCAACAATAGATCACACCGAATTCGTCCATTTTAGAGACATCTTTGGCTGATTTGTAATCCGGCTTCCAGGAGGAAATCTGATGCCACCTAAGCACTATAGTCGTTGCCGAAATGATAAACAGACCATATGCCGTGGTGACCACACTACATGAGCCATTGATTCACATTGATTCAAGCAGGAATGAAATTTTGCACAGCCGAATTTCTTTCTGTGACAGGCCGCTTACAATGGCACTAATCAAGTACGCTATTGCTCACGAATCACATCACACCGGAACTCTTGAATAGGATGCAATATTTTGGACTGAAAGACTCCAATACAGGGATGCCCATCAGTCACGACCCAGCAAAGCATTCAGATTCATGCTCTGCAGAACCCACGGGAAGAGCAGTGGCCCCGCTCATAAAGACCCCACCACACTGACTTTCAGCAGCACTGGCCACCACTTTCACAACTGCATCAAACAACAAAAAGAAATTCTGCGCACCTCAAAGGCACTGGCGTACAGCACAAAGCGCTCGGCATTGCGACAGCACTCCAGAGTCTTGATTGTGGCTCACCTGCAGGAAGGGGAGCATGTACAGGATGAGCCTGATGAACCATGGCAAACGCTGCGGCACAAGGCTTTGCGTGATGAAAACGTCCACGAGTCGGTTGGTGAAGTTGAATTTGAACGCCGTTGAGATCACTTCCGGGGCTTCATCCAGATTGAACGGCGGCGCCTAATCACAGCCAATGTGCAAAAGGGGGTCGAAGTGTAAGCTAAGGAATCAGCTCAAGCTTTGCTCAACAACCAGTCACATGGCTAACTAAGGGCCAACATGCAAAGCGTGCAAAGTCCTTCTCGGGTGCATTCCCTTTCGACCCTTGGCAATGCTTTACATCACATTCGCGATGCGGGAAAGAGACCCACATCCCGTTTACAAGCATGTAGGCGATCCGATTTCATTGTGGGCAAGACGATGCTCTGCCGTGGCTCAAAGCGCACGTGCAACACAATGGCACATCGCTGCAACACAAATGCAATGCGGTCATCAGGCTTCCCTTGTCGCTTCTTTTGTTTGTTCACCTGCAGGTCAATTCATGCTGCATATCCCAGAACATACATCGACGACATAATTTGTCAGTACATTCTTGTGCATCCCACCGGGAATTGCTGTAATACGCCTAGGCTCAGTGGCAGAAAACCAATTGGGGATGGAAGCAGGACAACTCTAAGTAGCGTCACGTACATTGTGTGTCATGCGAGCGTTATGCAAAAAAATTCATGCCCCCTACACGGACACCGCGTTGCTTACAGGCACATGTACAATATGTCGGATAGCACAATGTCATGCACAGGATACTCTTAGTCAGTCTAACCCCCGTTGATGTCACAGTGAAAAGTGAGGCAGGCTGCCGAACATGTGAACAGGAATGCAAATTTCGCAAGACGCTGCTTTGCATGTGCGGGAAAAGATTTGGGCTGTCGAGGAAAACGTCTTCAGCACATTCGACGGACTGCCGTCCTCAAACTGGCAGCCACACTCGCAATACACCGGTGCATCGCACACACCTCTCTCAGAGCAGGTGACGCCTTTTTCTGGCATTCTTTGGCCCAGGTGCAGACTTTCCTCATTCTCTCATCCCTCAGGAGGGAAGGATCGTTGGTGTCCATAGCAGCGCGCATCTCACTGCCACCTGCGAGAGCACCTGGTGGGTTCATGCAACAGTATTTTGCTCTTGGAGTCTTTTCAGAATTGTCCTAATCAGCCTCGTTTTTTAGAATTTTAATAATTTAGGAACTGTCCTAATCAGACTAATCAGAACCCGCTCTTCGAGACACAGTGCTCAAAGGAGCAGGCAAGGATTTACTCTATAACTGTGGCAGCATTCCACTGCTTGCATTCATTGAAATCTTCTTGATGTTGCGGTGGTGGCACCATTAGGTAGTATGACTGGGTCATCACGGCATCGACACAGGAATCGACACTAAAAAGGGGAGAAAAACAGGGCCAATTTGAATCTAAACGTACCAAAATCGACACAATGAAGTCCCTAACACGGAAATGGGTCTTGCACAGCTCTTGCTTGGGAGGAGGATGCCCACTGTGCAGCTGGCTTTCTTCCCTTGAAATGCCAATCGTTGCATCTCACCTGAGTTGGCAGCGACGGCGAAATTGCCATGAGCTGCGCAGCAAAATTTGCAGGCATTGGAGCCTGATATTATCGCAGCGATCTGCTCTTTCTCCTTCCTGTTGAATTTCCGTTCCACCACGATGCTCTCTCGGTAGATTGCCCAGTTGCCAGCAAAGGCAGGTGGGAAGAAGTTGTGTATTGTCATTGGGTCAACTGCGCTGTGCAGTCTCTGCCCTGGCATGAACTCTTTCCTAATCTGGGAAACACGCACTGTTTAGGTTGCTTTCCAAACTACCAAGGAAAGAAGTGCTAGAAAGAGCATGAACATGCGGATATGCATGCCCCGCGATAGCTGAACAGCGGGTCCATTTTCTGTGAACAATTTATTTATGGATTCTCTGTGCTGCACTGCCTTGTACTGACATTGGGCCACTGGATCTGTTGTCCACCTGGACTTGCAGACAATGGAAATTGTTGAATCACGCGCATGATGTGCAGGTCAAACACACATCACCAGACCATCAGCACGTAGTGCGCTTTGCCATTGATCCAAAGTTCTCGAAATTGCATTCATCCATTTGTATTCTGCACACCAGTGTGGATTCTTTCTCTAAGTATTGAACACAGGTGCCACTACATTGCCCCCTCACAGTAGTGGATGACATTTGTGCAGTGGGAGCCAAGGTCACTGCTTCCTCTTTTGATGAGGGACATTGCAGTGCAAATGGAGTAGCACAGGAGTTTTATTGTGCTCTTACAGTTGGGCAACAATCACCAGCAGATATGGTCGTTTCCAACGTGGCCAACCACCAATGTCAAGGCTGGCAAACCAAGAATGGCTGATGCCATTCCACTTGCAGAATCCCGTTTCCAAACTGCCACTGGCTTGTCCAGTTGCAGGCCCTCTGACTGAGAAACATTGAAACCCATGCTTTCCACGCCTGTGTTCACACATGCACCCAGGGTGCAGGATTGTACATGTGCTACTCTATGTTGTGTGCGATCGTTCGTGAGCCAAAGATTGTTGAACACAGGGATGGATGGTGCTGTGAGGGTCTCAACAGGCAAAGGTGTGCTTTTCAGCCGTTCACTGTCCAGGGAACTGTATATTTGGGGTCAAATTATCCATTTGTTGCCAAACGTTGTGCAATACTTGCCACTGATGACCTCAACTTAGCAGGGACAGGTTCCATTGCCAGCCACCATGTTTCCTGTTGCTTTACCTACAACATACAATCTGCAATAAGGCAAAGACGTTCCAAAGGCATTGTGCTCAGGAGCGGGATGTCAATAGTCCGACTTGTGCTCCTGCTTATGACAAGGCAACTTTGCTATTACCTGAAGCTGGTGCTTGCTGAGTCAATCTTCACAGAGGCGAGTTACCTGTGCTGGGAACCTACGTTCATTTATGGCATTGTGAGGTCATTCTAGTTTGCTCGAAGAAATGTGTATGACTACAAAGCTGAGGATCCGAGTTCAGTGGAATCAGGGCACAATGGCCAGTGTGTTAATCCATGTGCTAACACGCATTATCGGGGTGTGTTTAACCAATGGGCTCGCCTGTGTCGCTTTCGCATTGCATCAGTGAACGCATTCATTAATTGACCCAGGAATTCGGGGCATACAGAGTGGATGGATTCATGTCCATGTTCACCTTTCAGGCTCAGGGGCAGTGCTTGTCATATTTCGGCACAATGCCACATAAAAGACTGACGTACTTGTGCGAGAGCCCTCTCCATCAGGGCCTGTCCATCCTCAGACACTCCTGACGCCATCTCCCGTCCCTGGCTGTTTTCTGCTCTGTCCGTCGAGGTAGAGGCGCAACACGCGACTAGACCTGAGCGATGCTCCACGGGACAGAGGGTTTGTGGGGTTGTGAGGGGCGCCGATTTGTTACAGCCCACCTGCAAATCGAAAGCCCAGGGACGGGGGAACACCAAACCTCAGCAGCCAAGGATCCCTCATACTCACTGGCGGCCATGGGTGCCTACAAGGTCCCTTTTGACTTCACTATGGGTATCGACATCATGTTGGGTTTGGTTTCAGATACCAGTTTTCAAATTTTCGTTTCCAGTTTTTCGCTGGTGCTGTGCCCAACCGCTGTGACAAATGCACCTTGACCTGGCCACTGGCGCTCCCGAAGTTGGCGCGTGAGATTGTGCCTGCTGGTTCACAACAACCCCAGCCCTGACGTCACGACCTCCGGCCCGAAACACACTCAGAATACGATTGGCATTTCCATTCACCAATTCTGACGACCTTCCGCTTGCTGGGTCCTCCGGGGAATGCCGTTCGCATCGTTGCAAAGCCCTCCGCACCGAACAGAACATACTCGTCGCTGAAGGCCTAAGCGCACGACGCGCACTGCAGACAAAATCTCAACCTGGCTGGCTCGAGTTCCTCCGCTGGAACAATTGCCCTTGGTCTCGGATGGGGCTGGCCAAGTGTGGCGCTTTGTCGGCGCGCCAAGTTTTTGAGACCTGGCCGGGGCGCCAGGGTTGCACCCAGGGTGCAAGAGGCGCACGCTGCAATACACTTGCAGCGCCCCATCAGCACCGTATTCTTATCCGGATACGAACCTGCATCTGAAGTACTGGTACCCGTATCGGATGTACTGGTCGAATGCACTATGGCAGGTGTCTAAAGTACTGGCAGAACCTGGTCGCCTGGAGCGGGTGGTAATGAGCCAGAGGACTTTCAGCAGCTTGTTCTATGGGACCTGGCCCTGCCTCAGAGGCAGGGGTTGCTGCAGGAGAAAAAGCCACTGGGGGACGCGGCCAGCAGTGCGTTCATTTAGCGCGGCAATTTTCGAGCTCAGTCGTTGACAGGGACGGACGCCATAAGTACTGTCCGTAAGGTTGCGGATCCCAAAGAAATCCATTTGCAAATTTGCCGACAGACTTCGGCTAAAAATTGATAGAAAAAGGTCCATAAATTCATGGACAGACAGTCCGTCCCTAAATTCGTGGACAGATCCACAAGGTTGAATTTTGCCCCATAAATCAGCTTGCGGGCTGTCCATCCGTCTGCAAGCCACGGAAACCCTGATTGTGCAATCAGCTGGGTAGCCGCACCCGGCTTTTGACTTGACGTTTTACACAAGGTGGTTCCCCTATAACTTATAAGTGAGGACGTTGAACACCTCTGGCTTGTGCAAATCACATGCACAACAGCGCATGCACAAGAAACAAGAGAGCATTGCAAACCATTACCTAATAAACATTTGTAAAAAAAAGCACTCCCACACAAACATTACCTTGAAGAAAATGACCATCAAGATCTCACGGGAGAATACTGGCTCACCAGGCACGGGAAGGTCATGGCGGGGGACGGTACCCATGTCACACTGCACGGTGTAGAGCGGCAACCGGCTAATGGGAACGGCAAATGGCGGAAGAAAACAATAACAGTACAACAAGTCCACAAAAAAAATCCGAACTGCTCCCGAAAATATATTGACACACCAACGCCGACCTCTGGCTTTGCCCTCACTCCTCGCTCTTCTGACATCATTTTGTAAGAAACACGGCAAGTTCTTCGGCCGTCGATGCGGACGGACGAAACTGGTGCCATCCGCGAGGTTTCAGAACACCAGGAAATCCATCTGCGAATTATTGAGCGGATTTCCGGGGACAAATAACAGAAAGAAGGTCCACCAAATCAATGACGGACAATCAGTCCCTGAATTCGTGGACCAATCCAGACGGATGAATTTCGCCCCATAAATCAGCTCGTGGATGGTCTGTCATTCTGCGACGCACAGAGACCATGGTTGCGCTGAGTCGATCAGCTGGGTAGCCACACCCGGCTTTGATCTAGCAACCTTATGCAAGGTGTTATCTTGTACTTCGAAGTAGCTTATAAGCGAGAGCATTGCACACATCCGGCTTGTGCAAATCTCATGCACAACTGCGCACGACCAAGAGACAAGGTTGCATTGCAAACAATTACCTTACATGTTGCAACGAAAAGAAATCCAACACAACAATTACCTTTCGCAACACATGATAAGCATGATCCTACGGCAGAAAAACGGCTGTCCAGGCACGGAAAGATGCAGCACAGCAACGCCGCAGTGGAAAACGGTGCCCAGGTCACAACGCACGGCGTACAATGGCATCCGGCTGATTGGAACGACAAATGGAGGAAAAAAAACACGCGCTTCTCGCGTCGTCGGACGGGGCCATATCGGAATTTGTTCGCTATATTTGACCAATAATGGCGCTAGTACCCGAAACAACGGCAGAAAGACTCCACACAGTTTACATTCACGAAAACATCAGACTGTTGTACCTCAGTGGAACCTGTTGAGCCTACGAATGCAAAGCACCTCTGCAAACTGCTTGACGGAGAATATGCTCATTGAGCAAATACGCCGATTGGTGCAATCATGGAGCTGCTGATACTTATTTTTTTCTCTGCACGTTGGCGGCAGAGGTGGTCCACATGTTTGAAAGCATCGTGAGCCAGCACGTGGCAGCTGTCAATCCGTCAGCCTGCTCCCAATACTACATTGGCTGTGCGAATTGCACACCTCTAGAAGCACAGTGCCTTAACCCAGAGAGCGGGGTGAGGTGGGTCAGTACTTGCCGCCGCCATCCATCGGCTACATCCGCCCTTCTGCGGGCCTTGGTTAGCGCCCTCGTTGGTGCTAAGCTACAATGGCAGTTTCCTCACTTTTTGCTGTCGGCAACACGCGTGGCACCCTGGCGTTATCTCGAGGGCACTGTTGTCTTGGGCTCCACGGTCGTCCAGTATGCACCCGTGAATGTTCGATTCGGTTACACTCGCCCCAAGTCTCAGAATCCAGAAGTCCTGCAACTGCACGCATCCGTGCCGTTCCACCGTCCCGCTACGAGGGCCGCCCTTCTCCGCAGTCAAACAGACACTATTTGCAACAAATCGGCTCAACGCTTAGAAGAACTTCAGCTCCCAGACTCGCTGAACGCTGCATGGCCCGCCGGCCCCGGCTCCCCTGCCTGCACCCCCCGGGGTGTGTCAGCTGTGCAAATACAATCCCTCCTTTCCCAACTGGCTCCATCCCGACGAGCTACTGGCTGACTCCTACACACACAGACAAGCACTCGGCACACCAAGTGCCCTAGTTGTTGATCCTCAGGGGCCTCTCGAAAGTGTACTTACCATGCTGCGCAGCCCTCTGGGGCCGCATGTCCCGATGCTCCAGCCCCAGGAAACAGTACTCTCCGCCGTAGTACCGGCAGTTGTTCAGTGAGAACAGGGGCGTGCGCGGAAACCTGGACAGCACGTCGTCTCCGTCGTCCAGGTGCTCCAACGGGTGGTGCATCTGCCGGGCGCTGAACGCGAACTTCCACTTAGCGAAGTCGTCGCCGGGCACGCCCAGCTTGTCCTGGATGCGCGGCTTTATGTCTGCTAGGGTCTCGCCCCGCCGCACGCGCAGCCAGAAGGGGTCCCCGAAGGCGGTGGCAATGCCGTCGGAGCGTTCGTCCGTCCTGAAGTGGCACACGTGGAGGAGGTTGTGCTCACCGGGGTGGGCCTCCCGCTCGTCTTCGGGAATGACCTCCGCCCGGTACTGCCAGTAGTCCGCGTTCAGGGTGTCCAGGGTGGTGTCGTGCCTGAGCACCTGGGCAAACGCACGAACATAATATATTGGCCGCAATTTATTTTGCTGAAGTTCAATTCTTCTGCTGGTGGCAAGGCCAACGTAGGCCTGTGGGTCAGTTTTTTGGGGTTTAGGGTGTCAAAAAAAGAACCGACAATAACAAAAACGACAGAGGGGCTAATTTCATGCCGCGCGCAGTGGGCCAGAGGTCAGCACGTCGGGCGTGGCCTCCGCTACAGTTTGCCAGCTTGCAAGTCCCAAACAATCTCAATCTTATGTTGCACAATAGAGTAAAAGCTGCAGCACATGTGATGAAGAAAAAGCACAATTGCAATGATGTTAAGCTTCTGAAAATATTTTCACAATGGGGATGTGGCAAATTCCATGCACCTTCCATGTGTGCCCAACTATGTCTTTAACTGCATGCAACCGGTACTGTACCACTGAGCTGGCTCCATCAATTACAGATTCGGAATCCAATTATTGAAAATGAATGATGGTATCTGAGAATCTCATTTCAAGGAATGCCATCAACACTTTAATTGAATGGCTGTCACCGTTTCTTGATGTATCACTTGCAACTTTCCAGTTCGCATAGCTGGAGGTCGGCGTCTGTACACCGATGTGCATTTCAGTACATGAGAAAACCGAATGCAGAAATGAGAGCAAGATTATAAAAATAAAAGTCTGACGCAGCAAGCCAGCCGCATCTGCTCTGTAGTGCAAGCAACTGGTCATGTGCTATCTGGCTGGTGTAATTATGGACCTGATTGAGATGGCGGGAGGAAGACTGCCCAACAATCACCTTCAAGTTTACTTATGATTTGGCGATCGCGCGAGTTGGTGTTGCGTGGAGCTGCGGGTCGCCGATATTGGGTAGCGTGTGTGAAAAGTGAGTTCAGTCCGCCATTTTGAGTGTGAGTTCTCGTGGGTGAAAAAAAGAGGCGTACTTTGGCATTTGAAGGGAGCACGAGTCTTGCTCGTGGCTTCTCTTTGTTTGGTTGTAAGTCGAGTTGAGGCGCGTCCTGCAAGACTCAGCTCAGCCTGTCTTACAACCAAACCAAGAGAAGCCACGAACAAGCAGTTTATTGACTGCTTGTCCGACTGCCCTTTTTTGTCCTAAAAACCAACTAAAACTTTTATGCCGCTGTCAGGTAGTGTTGCTGAGTCATGACACTATGCACAAACAGCATCAGCTGGCATTGACACTGTGGTGGCCTGCCCCCACCTTGAAAATCTTGCCGTGGTACACCTCCATCAGCCGCATGGGCTTCCCCTCGTACTCCTCCCCAAGCTCCTTTCTCAGCTCTCCCAGCAGGTCGCCCACACCCTTGTCCCTTGGTAGGCGCACCTGGTGCTCCCCAACGCACTCGCATTTCTCATTGTGGAATTGCACTCTCAGGCACTTCAACCTCTCCAGCTCAGGCAAGGGCACGTCCAGGATCTCGTAGTACAGGATGTTGGGGCAGTGGCGCATGATCATGGCCTCCAGGTTGTCCGCTCCATGGTATTTGATTGGATTCCTGTGGGGCTGGTGAGCGTACATGTTGTGCTGTGTCAGCTGCAGTTTCTGGGGATCATCAAGCCCGAGGTGCTGCGCGAGCTCGCTGCACACGTTGTCATAGCTCGCCGTCTTCAGGAACTCCAGGAGGAAGCCCTCTTCCTACACAAGCAGTGGATCAAGCAGCGTCGAATTGCTACTCCGTACTGGCACCCCGATCAGCCCCAGGCATAATAGGTCAAGCCGCAACCAGCAAGTGGTTGAGCCACTTGCCAGCCAAAGTCCGCTGAGCTTCTCAAATTCTGTCCTTTCAGATCCCAAGGCATCCATCGCGCTAGTCTCAGAAGGAGACCGCCACATCTCCCTAACCTAAATGTCCTCTGCAAAAACTGGTACAGCTGACAGCTAAACACATGTCTGGACCAGCCAAGGAAAGTGCGCAAGCACTCGCTAGGACCACAGTGCCTCCCTGGCCCGGCCAAGGTCGTGATGCCCCACTTGTTTCAGCTGCTGAGCCTCTCTCAATACATTGCAATTCGCTCCAACAGAACGTGGATGTGTACATCTACATAGGTTGCATCGCAACCATGCGGCGCTAGAAGCGGAAACAGGGAAACAGAACTGAATGGACCAAAACAGGTGCTTGCACAGAAGTGGGTCCTACGATGGATAGTTGTGTTTGATGCTTTGGTCTGCCTTGGGGGTTTTAGGATGGGGAGAGGTTTTGCGCTGCTGTACATGCTCTCTTGTCGCACTGCAATGGGAACATCTCCTTGCTTAACCATTTCTCATGTGGATCAGTAGCACCTAAATGGTTCTGGTGGGACACATTCGCAGATCTGTCTGACGGGAAATGACACCTCTTCTTGTTCATATCCCGTATATCTTAATTGTCTACAACAGTTCTTTGCACCCACTGGAGGAAATGGCTCCGCACCTTGATTACTGTTGTGCAAAAGCCGCATGCACAAGGCAAACTCCCGCTGGTCAGGCTGCAGCCACTAGCAGCAGTCATCGCTATCCTTTCTATTACATCCTGTCTCCAATGTATATATCAGCGTACTGCTCCACTGCTGTTCGTAAAAACAAATTCAGCAAAATCTGTACGGAGCCAGCCGTGGCAATATATGTCTTCGCAGGGCAGTTGCGGACAACAAGTGTCGCCTTGCTTGAGACAACTCACTCAAACCTTTGTTACGATGGCTACCTTGGGGCTGCTCAGTGGCCTGAAATTGACTGATATTCCGTCTTTGATGTACTCCAGAAAGCTCCGCACAGTAGGATGCTCGAGATCACGGTATTCCGCGTATGGCACCCTCTTTTGCAGGCATATGATGTCGCCACTCATGAGCTGGCTCTGCACAGCAGATACCCGGTAAATGACTGCTCAAGATGACAAGAACAGTGCGCAATGATGTGCCCTTCTTGGCGCAGAAGACTGCAGTGGTTTATGCATGCAGATACAAACTCCAAAAAGATAGGTGCACTGTCGTGAATTGACATTTTTCGTATGCAATATCTGTCATCACCTCCAAAGTATAGGAGCCTACTTTGGCTTTCAAAAGTTAATTACCAATAAATATATCGTCATGAAGCAACTTAAAGTCACATGCCGAATCATGAAATGTTGCTGCAGCAGCTGCACCAGATGGTTCAGTTGCTCCATCGGCTCGTGGGGCTCTCTGAGCACTAACAACGAATGAAAACTGGAAGCAACTGATAATGGGCACTTTCTTCATTTCTGAACAAGATTCAAGCAACGAAGCACTGCACAGAGCCTAACCAAGGATGCTCTCATCATCCAACCCACATCCCTGACAGCCCTTTCACTTGGAAACCAATCCTGCAGTTGCCATGAGGCCCTGACCTGAGGCCAGGGCACCAGCGGCAGGCAACCATTACCACACAACTATGCAGCTAGCTTGACTCTTGGAGGGATCCTCCATCAGTCCCAAGCACAACTTTCTGGCTATTCCACATCTTTCCGGGCCACATCATTCAAACATATTCATGCTATGATACACATAATCATGAGCATGTTTCCTTCGCCAGTATGCAGCCTAACCTTTTCTGGTGTGGAATCTGCAGGGATGTCCTCACACAGCACCACTGGCTCGAATTTAATTTCCTCACACCCCATGATCTCAGTCCCCTCGGGGAAATCCAACAACTTGGCCACCATCTGGAAGATCTTGGAGAAGGATTCTGCCTTGTGCACGCACATGTGGGTGACGTAAGATAGGTGTGTCTTGTGCGGGTCGTACAGCTTGAAAAACAGCAGCATGGTGTCCGGTTCGATGTCAAACAGAGGCCTGGTGGGGTATTCCGGCATCTCAAGGTACAACCTGATGGTCATCAGTGCGTGCTTTTCAAGCTTGGGCGAGTATGAATTGTCCTTGTATTCTCTGAGGTCCAGGACGTCATCAATTTTGCTGTCTGAGCGAATTAGTGAGTCAGGGCGGACAGTGCCATTGTGCCGCCGCTTCCACACCCAGAAGCGTTGCTGCCTTGGCTGGACCCCAAAGTCTTCAGCGACCTGCGAAATACGAGAGGCGCGTCATTACACCAACATGTAGGGTACACTACAGTTTGATTCTCAAGCTTGATATGATCGCAGCCATTGATTACTGGTCACTACAATCACGCGCTTGGGGCGAGCAATTAATAATGGCTGAGATCATATCAAGATTGAGCATCAAGGGGTCATGAGGCCCAGGGGATTGAGACTGAAAAACAACAGTCATCAGGTGGACCTGAGAGCCTCCCAAATGCGGGACCTTGTGGTGTTCGGTTGTAGTGGACCAGCACACACAATGCCTCAACAATCAGATCAGATGACTGCACACAGTTGCGTGTCAACTTGTGGGTCAAAAACCGTAGAATATTTCTGCTGGATGCTCAGGAACCTGTTGTACGATGAACGAGATAACAAAATTAGCTTACATGAAGCCGGCGCTCAAAATGCAGTGCTAGTTTCTTGACAAAAACACTTTCTGCCTTGCTGCTCTGTGCACCTGTGCAGCGTCAAATGACAGCCCATGAAATTGTTGCGAAATTTGCCGTAAAGTGTGCTGTATTATTTTGCCCAGCATTGCGACGTCCTTACTGCCCTCCAGCAAAACAAGTGCTCCCTTGTGATCTAAAATCAGCAGTGGCACGTTCCACGACCACGACGCTATTTTCACGTTGCTACAAGGGATACATTCACTCCCACCCTAAGTGGTCCTGAGTGTTCGTACTTGTAAATTGACATTGGCAACATTTTCTCACACACAACCAGCTGCTGTACCGACACGACCTTTGTGATGTCAGATATTGGTCACATTCAAACAAGTTTGTGCCCATAGCTTGTTGAGTCCCCGCTTGCCGCCTGATCTGCCGCAAGCAAAAAATCAACAAATCCACATGCGCTGCAGCCAATTTCCAAAGAATATTAGAGTTCACCTTTTGCCGAAATTTTTCAAATTTCGTCCTCTTGTGCATCCTGTAGCTCTTGACCTGATCAAACTTGACCAAGTCGAAGTAAAGCGAGTTCCCAATCTGTCTTAGGAAGTCCCCGTCGCAAGCCACTTTGATCACAACGTACAAGTGAGCCTCCTCCTTCTCTCGCTGTTTCCTGACTTTCTCCAGCTGTTCAACCTTCAACGCCTCAGAGAAAAACTTTGCACTGGCTCGCCACATTTCAGCAATGATGCTGGCACCATCCTGACAGCCATCTGGCGGATGTGTTCCACATGCCCTGACAGTGCGCAGTGCCAAATAGGCAGGCACTGCTTGCACCATGAAAGTTTCTGGCACGCATCACAACGAGATGGTTGCATGTGCAAGAAGCTTGGTATTCGGGATCTTCTGAAGGCAAGTTTCATATCAGCAACAGGCAACAGAAGAATGCTAGAAGCAGACAGCACACACATCACGTATTCAAGAGTATCCGGCACTGACTCAAGCCTCACCTCCAAGCGCGTCCGAATGGGCTCCGCTATCTCTTCCTTTTCGCAGGGACAGCAAATGGTGTCCCAGTCTGACTCCCTTATGTACACCAGCATGTAAGCGGTGGACTGCTTGGCATCACCACCTGATTGGCACCAAACATTGTCTTATTCAGAGTAAAACTTTCACACGATTCATACATGCCATCTGAAGATCCCCACAAACATTTAACTTCACTCATAGCAAACATAAACAACACTGAAGGCAATCAAACATATAGACCCGTGGCATGACGCAGTGTGGCCCATCAACAAAAGACATTACTAGCCCCATTCAGTCGATTACATTCACAGTCGTGTGGCCACAGTTGGAGACTTTGGACCACGGGCGCAAGTGACTCAGATATGCGGCTTGGAGGCATTGGCGATCCACATAACAACACACTAACGAAAAGAGCAAGGCTGCGGCATCCCAGTAACCTTGTGTCCTCACCAAACTGTTCCTGTATGGCCCTCTTCTCGGTCACTTCACGAACCACCTCATCATCAAACTTGTGCCACCTGTCAGCAGGCCGAATGTATGCAAAGTAACGGCCCCCATGGGGCCCACCCCTGTGCGCAAGCACACTGTGCAGCTTGTACAAGTTCCGCACGCTCCGGTCGGAATACTCTGTCAAGTACTTTCTTTCTTTGATGTCCAAGTCCAGGCTGGAGTAAAACTCGTACCGATCATTTACCTGTCAGGGCAGACAGGAAGGAATGGATTCAGTGCCAGCAGAAAATCAGCAAATGCGCAATGACATGTTGAACCAATGCGCGCATTCGTTGCAGCAGAAAGGGTCAGCAAATGTGCAGCGGCAGGATGAACCAATGAGCGCATCCATTGCAGCAGAAAGACAGAGTGGCGGGAGCAGCTGTTCAACAGGCAGGATATCAACTTGAAAAATTTCTGTCACCACGACTGACTGGAATATACAATGTCTGTTTACAGTGTGCTGGTGTTAGAAGTAAAAGAGGAACCGGGTCATACACAGGCCTTTCACCCACCCACCCACCCCCGCCCCCCAAAAAATGATTGTCAAGAATGTGGAAAATCACCTTGATCTGCAAATCCCGTTGATAGTCGTAGTCAAACCGCCTCAGGTGCAACTGAAGCACTGGCGGAAACTTATCGAATTTTACACATTTTCGGGCATCCTGTGAAGCAAACACATCAGCAATCACCCCAAGAGCAGTCCACTCTTTATACCTTTGAAAATACCACACTTGCATAATGCAGAAGGCAAGTTGATGCTGTCAAGGTAGGTAACTACTATACTATGTACGAGTTACTGTAATTGAGCAGATGATATCCTGCCCTTTGAAGATGGCACCTCTCTTTGACTTTGAGGCAATCCGATCTCTGTAAATGCACTGGTCGAATGATACAAATCATTTTCAATGCCCCATCAACATGATGATGTCCATGCTAGCGACGGCAAGCAGGATTCGGTGCCCACGATCCACAATGAAATGGTTGACTGATTGATATATTGAGGTTGAGTGGTACCTTCGTTGACTTGCTCCATTCGTACTTGCTGAGTCTAGGTCTGGAGGGAGACAAGTTTGCTCACCCTCTGCAAGCCTTAGAGCATTTCATAGAATGTATGAGCCCAGTGCTGAACAAAGCTCCATGAGGCACACTTTATGCACACCTATAGCATTGATAGGCACACACATGAGACGACAGACTGCTGAGAGCATGGTAAGCCAATCATAAGCCTAACCTTCCACTGATCCACGATTTGACTACGACAACCGCCATGGGCTAACCATATGATCATCGGGCACTACACCGCCTTGCACTTTCTTGTGGAGTGGCCCAAGGTTCATTACTATCTTGTTAGGAAAGAGGCAGCACTCAATATTTCACATGCAGCGCAGTTTGGGGCTGAAGAACCAGCGGATTGCTCACCACATCCGTGATGCAACATTATAAACAAACAGTGAACCGGCAGTGGAAGAAAAAAAGACTCACCACGGCACCAAGGCCTTCCACATGGTACTTGTTCTGGCCCTCCAACCTCTCTTCCTGACAGAACTTGTCAAGTGACGCGTAGACGTCGCTGCATCCCTTCACCTCCAGCTGAATCGTCATGAACGGGTGTTGCGTGATGCATTTGAAATACACGTCAATGCAGCGAATGTGGCTGTAATAGTGCCCAACAAAAAGGTATGGGATCACCTTCTCAACTTTGGTCCCCTGGCAAGGAAATGACCCTCATGTTAACGAAGAAATAATGGTTCTTCAATAAATACCACTTCCATAACGATGTTTGTTGACTTATTGTGGTCAAGCAAACAATTGCTGACATGGACAACGTTGGCAAATGCCAGTAATGTTCAGTGGCAGTGTTTTGCTTACATCTCAACAGAAGAA